AGGCCAGGGTAGATGTATCTATGGACCCTGTAGGTTTTTCAGCCTCTGCGCATGCAGTGTGGTCCAGATTGGTCATGTACCTATTTAAGAGCAATTTTCACCTAGTATGTGACATAGGATTTCATTTGTTTATGTGTCTTTAATCATTAGAAACTGTCTTTTTTGTTCTCTTAAATAGAGAATTTACCAAAACAATTAAGCGTCCATTTGAAGTGAAGTATAACCCATACACACGGAGTATTCAGATTCTGAAAGACACCCGGAGCATAACCAGCGCCATCAATGAGCTGCGGCATGACCTCGACGTGGTCAGTGATGCCCTTGCCAAGGTCTGCAGGCTGCCGAGTGTGTGACGGGTGCCAGTCGCAATCCAGAAGCATCTGGGCGTCAGTTCAGTGGCCATGGCCAGCTCTTGCTTTTCTTGAAGACCTGATCATTGGCAGGCCAGCAGCTTCTAGCCAGAAGACACTGTCTAATCCCACCCCTAATGAATCGCCAGCCAGGAAATTTGCACCTGTTCTCTCTGCTACCCTTTTGTTTTGTTTTGTTGGTAATGGCTTCAGTGAAATATAATCCATATACCGCATACAGGACTTGTTTGACCCAGTGGATAGATCTGGCCTCAACTTGACTCTCTTTTCCTCAATCCTTCTTGTGTAAAATGACCTTGATGACCCTCAGAATACACTGATGAGTATTCCAGAGCTGAGCCATACTGTTACTTGACATCCTTTATTTCTAAAGTATCTGTTACTATCAGTGAGTTTGTGCCACTCTCAATCACACTGACCCACCTAAATTTAGCAGGAGACCAACCATCTCCACTGCCAGCATGAGTGAAAGTAGAGAGGCCTCTGTCCATGAGCATACCTAGAAAAAGCAAGCAGCCTGGTTTCAAGTGTTATGAATTTCAAGTGCTTTCTTTCTTTCTTTCTCCTCCTTCCCCTCTCCCCCCAGCATGCTTGTGGTTGCTGGAGAGAGAGAGAGAAAGTGAGAAAGGATCCCTATGGGGTGGTCATGTTGCAATCTTTTTTCTATTTATCCTTTTTGGAATTTGGGTACACAAACATGTGTCCAAGCGTGTTCCTTAAGCCAAAGGATCTGGGACTCGAACCATGCTGTCGGCCAGGTGGGATCCAGCTGCCTTAAGCAGCTCACCACCAGCTGGCCCTAAAGTGTATTTCTTCTGGGGAAACAGAAGTTAAATCTGGAAAGATTGACTGGGGCATAACCTTTATGAATAGGCTCAGGGGGTCAGCAGTTGGAGTAATGGCTATGTCGCCGGACTCCCATGTAGTTGACCGTGGTTCGAGTCCCAGACCTGGTGGCTTAAACTCACGCCAGGCACATGTGCGTGCATCCCCAAGATCCCAAGAGGAGATTGGAGGAGAAGGGATTGTGGTGTGGCCAATCCCCCCTGGGGGATGATTTCTCGCTTTCTGTCTCTCTGTCTCTCTTTGTCTTTCTGGTGAGTGCACGTGCCCTATAGCAAAAACCTCTCCACAAAAAGAAAAAAAAAAAAAAAAAGAATAGTCTCAGAATTTGGGACTTTATTTTGTAAGCACTAACCAGTCCCTTTCCAAGTGACCATCCTCCTCAGAATTCTCCTTCCTTTCTATAGTATTAAAACATCATGCTGGGGACCAGCAGATGGCATAATGGTTACGTTGCTGGATTCCCATGTAGTCAGCCTGGTTCGAGTCCTGGACCCAGAGGCTTACAACTCACTCTGGGCATTTGTGCATGCCCAAGATCCTGAGAGGAGAGTAGAGAAGGGATTGCGGCACGGTCATTCCCCTAGGTTGGTGATTCCTCGCTTTCTGTCTCTCTCTCTCTCTGGTAAGCACATGTGCCCTATAGCAAAAATCTCTCTTAAAAAATAATAATAAATAAATAAATAAAACATCATGCTGGTTTTGTTCTAGATTTTCTATTCTACTCACGAGGTGATGTGGGGCGCCATTTGCAAGGCCCTGCACTCAGAACGCAATCCCAGGACAGCGACAGGGTTGTCCTGAGGCTAGCAGGGGGCAGTGTTGTCAAAAGGAGAGTTCGAGCCGAGAGAGCTTAGAGAAGTGCAGAGTTCAAGTCAGAAAAACAGGGCTGAGTGCTTTATTTCCAAGGTGAAGGTGAGGCTGTAAACAGGAAGGCAAGCAGTGAGGGTCGAGTAGGGGAAAGGGACAGGAAATGGAATGGCAGGAAGGTCCAGAAGCCATTTTGGGACTGAGACTGTAACGACACAAGGACGAGGACGCAAGGACTGGTTGATGGGTGGTGTCAGCTGCGGAGCCCAGGCAGTAGGCAGTTCCTGTTAGAAAGGGGCGAAACCGGACCCCCCACTATGCCCTTGCGTCTCTTTACTCAGCTCCTTTCCTGCCCCGTCCATGGGATGAAGATACTCCTCGCGTTTCTGTCTTTGGTCGTCTTCTGTCTCTGCTCTCTCTCCATCGGGAATGCCACCCACGTCTACGACTTTAATTCTGATTCTGCCTGCCATATTTGCAGTACCAGTTGCACCTCTTTCTTGAATCTCGCCTCCGAATTCCAGTTGCCTGCTGTAAGTTCTATGTACCTGTCCCACAAATAGGGTCATGTGAACTCCCTGTGGCAACATTCACAATGGGGTCATACGCTGTGGCAGCCCTGCCAAGTGTCTCAAGTTCAATGGTCCAAAAAGGGTGTCAGAATCACTTGATTATTGCAGCCTGTCAGTTCCCTCTCACACTGATCAAATTTCTATTAATAGTATATTAAGGGTCATATTTCCAGCCTGTTTTCTGGACCTAATCACTTACCTAAAACAGTGTACCCTTATCTACTTAATTATTTTTACATTAGTAGTCACATTGTATGCTATTTAAAGGGTTTTTTTTCAACAGACCACTGGATCTTTTCATACTTTTTAGAGTTCAAAAGAAATGATATATTTCATTTCATGTTATATAAAGAAATAGAATTTAGAAGAATGATTTATACCATTTCAGATCTTTACATTACTTATATACATATTTTAAAAAATATTTTATTTAATTTCATTCATTATTATTATTATTTTATTTGACGAGAGAGAGAGAGAGAGAGAGAGAGAGAGAGAGAGAAGGTGAGAAAGCTAGCAAGGTCCAGGACTAGAACCGTGCTCAGCCATGTGGGAGTCCAGTGCTTTAACCACCACACCACCTGCCCCACTTTTATATATATATATATATATAATTGTCAGAGGACATGTGTGCTCTCCAGAGAGACAGAGACAGAGAAGAGGGAGGGAGAAGGAGAAACACCACACAATAGAGCATGGTTATATCACTATCCCTTCTCCATTTCTCCATCCAGTCAGGATTTGGGGGGTGCATGCACATGTGCCCAGTATGTTTTTCAAGCTGCTTGGCTAGGATTTGAACTGCAGTTGGCTATGTGAGATCTTACTCCCTTAACTATGAGGCTACAGGACTGGCCCTACTTATAACTTTTTGTTTGTTTGTTTTTGCGATGGGGGTGTGTTCTCACTGGAAAGCGGTAGGGAGAGAGGGACAGGGAAAGTAGGAAATCATCCTCTGGGCTGGGGGGGGTGGCCATGCTACAGTCTCTCCTCCTCTATTGTTCTCTTGGGATTTTGGGCATGCACACATACATGCCTGATGTGTTTTTTAAGCTGCTGAGTCTGGAACTTGAGCCACACTCAGCCTTGTGGGGTCCAGAACCTTAACCACCATGCCACCTGCTACCCTGCTACTTATAATTTTTAATGGCTAATTGCCTGCTAAGTATATGTTTGATAGTAAATTGATATGTTAGCTAATCTGAAATTGTTTGAAATATTGATTAGCTATAGTTAGTGTGATTGTAAGGAAACCTATTGTAAGAAAATCATAATAGATTTAAAAAAGTCTAATTAGGGATTGAACCAATGAGAAGGTGAGCTTCAGTCTTTGTGAGGGCTGGTCTATTTCTTGTAAACACCCCCCTCCCTTTTTTTTAATGTCCACAGTATTTATCAAGAGAAACTAATCTTTAGCCCATGTATTCATGGTTCATAGTCCAGGAACATGGCACCAATCCAATGACATTCTTCACATTCCAAAATCACTTTGTACTCTGAAAGATACCAACCTTCCTCATCTCTTCAAAATCTTTCATGGAATGATAATTTCTGTAGAAATCTGCATATGCCTTCTTTCTTGGTTCAGCCACAGCAAATTTAGAGAAAGTTGCAACACTCAGTGATACAATGACTGCTCCAACAATATGAAATCGCAGATGCTTGGCCAGAAGGCCACGCATCTGAGTTTGTCGCCAAAGCACCGGAAGCCATGGCAGTTACTGTGCTTCAACACCAACGTCCTTCCTGGCTGAGGAAGCTATTTCCTGTAAACCCTTAAGGTTCAGTCCTTGAGGGATCCTAACTGATCTATAAGTCTATAAGTGTGTGTCGGGGATCTACCTGTGGGCCCCGGACTCCTGTGTTTATCTCCTCCTTCACCCTCTGCATTCCCTCCTTTCCCTCCATACAAATGGCTTAAACTACTGCTCAGTTTTCAGCTGCTGCTTTCAGCCAAGTTTCCCGGCCTCCAAGACATTGCTTGCTAATTAGCAAGTTCTTTAAGTAGAGAAGTAGTGCCAAATGTAATCTCTCAGCTTCTAGATCGTGGCCCTTCAAGTTCTTGCTGCTTTGATAACTCTCCAATGTGTTAAAACTGATTTACAAACTGTTTTCTGCCAGCTTTTCTAGCTGTTTCTTTCTGAGATATTTGGTCTACAGCTAGTCAATCCTCTTCTCGCAAAAGCTAACGCCTGACCTTCTCGTAAATCATTTAACTTCTTTGAGCCTTGGTTTTCTCATCTGTAAAATAATGCCCCTCACAACTCTTACCAAACTAGTATGATCGAGAAGATCAAATAAAATAATCAAATGGAAAAACACTTCCTAACCTGTATGATGCAGAGATCTAATCTATAGGGCCCCACATACTTTATACTTTTCTCTGTGGGAAATCGAATCTCAGGAGAGTGATAACAGTCATGTAGTTCAGCCCCCTTCAGGAGCTGCAGCTGGACCATCCGTGAACAGCGTTCACCTAGCTGAGATAGTTCCATCTCAACATTTCCGAGAAAATGAGTTAAGAATTATAACCTAATAACATAGGTTAGTTAAAGCACACGCAATGGGTGAACTCAGAAAATAACTGTATTATCCCAGACCCTCCCTCCATTAAAACTGTAGGTAGTTTGTTTGTTTTTTTTAACTGTAGATAGTTTTTAATTATTTTTATTTTAGAAGTTTATTTTTCCCTTAGGACTTATAAGCTCACTGGAGAGAGAGAGAGAGGCACAGAGACAGTGAGAAGGAAAGTGAGAAATCACCCCCAGGGGGATGGCCATGCTGCAATCCTTTTTCCTCCGTTCTCTCAGAATTTTGGGCCTGTACACACATGTGCCTGGCATGAGTTTCAAGCCACCAGGTCTGAACTTGAACCACAATCGACCATGTGGGAGTCCAGCAATGTAACTGCTATGCCATCTGATGGCCCTCAGGTTTTTTAATAGCACATGTGTATACATGCGAGAATGAGAGTATGTGTGTGTATGTGTGTGTGCGAGAGAGCGAGAGACATTTGGTAGGGTCTCATTATGCAACCATCCCTTTTCCCCAGCCCTTCTCAGGATTCTGAGTGCCCTGCCTGTGTATTTTCAGGCCAATCCAAGACTTGAACCCATGACTGGCCATATGGCTTCCGGCCTTGTAGGGCACTCGGTTCCCGCCATGTGAAGCGGCTGGTCCTACACATCATTTGTGGTCCTTTTGGATGAATCTCAGATTGCTGCCTTGAATTTTCTATTCTCTCACAGATAAAATGTCCTCTGTTTCTTCTCTTGTCTTCCTGTCTCTCGTGTGCACACACAGAATTTCTCATTTCAGTGTTTGAAAAGTCCATTCCATGGGCTAACCCATGGCCTAGTGGTTAAGGGAGCAGGGTTCCACATGGCTGCTGCATGAATCCCAGCCCCAGGAGTTTGAAAACCACAATAAGCATGTGTTCGCGGGTGCCCCGAATCCTGACAGGATGAAGAAATGGAGGAAAAGGGATTTCAGCATGACCACGGCCCACTGGAGGGTGCTTTCTTCTTCTTCTCTCTCTCTGTCTCTCTCTGCTGAGTGCACATGCACTTTGGGAAATTCTTAAAAAGTTGAGTCCTGTGTGAAAATGTAGAACTTTGACGTTTCAGGTTAGTCTTTCTCCTCTAGAACTAGAAAGGAGGAGTTATGCTTTGCTTCTTCATCTCCTCACTGCTCCTTCCCCACCCATCTGGACGCTGCGGACTGCTCCCGGGGTGGAGGGTGTCCGGGCGGAGACGTGAGGGCTGGCAGTTCTTTTTGGTCGATACCGTGGGGAGTTGCCATCAGTGCTTCCTGTGCGTGGTGAGCATTTACTGCCGACTCCTCCTCTCGGGGTTTCTGAAGACCTTCCCACCTTCTTATTTCTCAGGTTCTCTTTGGGTGAGTAAATGCATCTCTCTTCCCGGGCTGTTGAATATATCTATTGGTTGTGAGGAGCTTAGTGTTCAAGACTGCCCTTCAGAAATTCCCTGGGGTGGGGGCGGCAGGTGGTATGGTGGTTAACGGCACTGGACTCCCACATGGCTGACCATGGTTCAAGTCCCGGACCTGATGGCTTTCTCTCCCTCTCTCTCACTCTGTCCCTCTCTGGTCAAATATAAATAAATAAATAAAGTCAAGTAAAATAATTCTTAAAAAAAAAAGAAATTCCCTGGGGGCTGGCAGGTGGCCTGGCGGGTAAGGTGCTGGACTGCTTCATGGCGGACCATAGTTTGAGTCCCAGACTTGGTGGCTTACTTTCTCACTTTCCCTCTCTCTCTGTCTTTCTGGTCAAATTAAATAATAATAATAATGATAATAAAATTACATAAATAATTTTTTAAAAAGAAATTCCCTGGATGGAGTTCAAGACCATCCCTGGCCAATCTGCTCATGCATATCAAACACGTCAGAAATAGTCAGACTTTTTATTTTATTTTATTTTTTTTAAAGAATTATTTTATTTTATCTTTATTTATTTTATTTTATTTTGACCAGAGAGGAACAGAGAGAAAGAGAGAGAGAAAGAAAGGAAGCAAGCTGCTAGGTCCAGAACTCGAACCGCAGTCAGCCATGTGGAATCCAGCACCCTTAACCACAGTGCCACCTGCTGGCCCAGTCAGACCTTTTTTATTTTGAAAAACGCTGGGCAAGAAAGATCTTCCCGAAGCTTCACTGTCTCTTGGCTCAAAATGATCAGAGCAGTTATCTGGCCACAGCCCTTGGGTTTCTCAGCATGGACCGAGCAGTAGCCTGCCTGGGTCCCCACCCAGAGGGCCTCGTCTCTGCTCTCTCTTCTGAGTGAATGTCGTCCACGTCTATGCCTTCAGGTTGTATTCTCCTATATCTGCAGTTACAATCCTAGACAACTCTCTTGACTTTTTGTCTCTTAATCCCAGCTGCCTGCTGGATATTTCTATCCAGGGGCTCTCTTAGTGGCTCTGCTGCATCCCCTTCCTTAGACATGAGACGGGTGGGACCCACACCACATTGACAAATCTGGTCACAGATTCAATCAGAATTCCCTCTCAACTACTCTGACTTTTTTCCCCACAGAAACCACACAGGTGGTTTCTAAATGCTTTCCCTCCTTTCACCTCACTGTATAACGCAGGAGTAATTAACATTTTGCCTTGGTGTCTCTGCCAAAACAGAGCTGGAAGGGTCGGTCCTACTTAACAATATTATTTCCTGTATCATTCATGATAGAGTGCATGCACACACATGAGAGAGGGAGAGAGAGAGAGAGAGAGAGAGACGAGCACCCTCCACAGGACTCTTGTCACACTGTGACCCCCTTCCTCCATCCTCCCCCAGCCTGTGGGTACTTGGGTATGCATTCACATGGCTAGCGTGTTTCAGGCTAACCCAGGTTGGGGATTTGAACTGGTGGTCATGTGAGAGATGCTCCTCTTAAACAATACATTACTGCTGCTCCACAGATGGATGGGTCCCATTTCTCCATCCTATTTTGCAAGCTTAAAAGGAATGACCAGAACTAAGAGCTCCCTCATAAAACAGCACACTTGGGCAGGGGGGAGTAGTTTCTGCACATCGAGGTCTCTAGAGAATGGAGAGCTGCTTCGCTCCTTAAGTTTGCATTTTCCTTAGAGTGGTCACGGATGAGGTCCAGATGCCACAGGCTTGTGAGTTAAAGGCGAGGGGCTGTTCTCAGTGGTCTCCCTGCACAAACACCAAGAAGCGGGGAGGAATGAAAGCATTGGAACCGACTGTGTCACCAGAGACACCAGGCAGTACTCCCAGGCACGAAGGGTGATGGGTACTGGCCGTCTATCCGGCAGAGGGTCCGAGGGCTACTGAAAAGTGGGCTGTTGTCCTCTGCGGTGTGACCGCATTTGCTCCCTATCCCAAATGCACTGTCACATTTCCCTTCGGGAAAAGTATACTTATTCAGCGTCCACCAGCAGTTAGCGGGTGTCTGATAAAAGCCATTTTATATGGCAGTCCCTGCAGGGTGAAAACGATGCATAGTGATCATCCGAATCAGGGCAGAGCCACGCCAGGAGCGCTGTGGGTGTGGAAGCTGCCCGGCAGGGAGACACTAAGCAGGTGCGAGTCCCTGTCCGTGCCAGGCGCTGCGGCGACACCAGCGACGGAGACACTAGCTAGCTAACCAAGATTCAGTTTTCACAAACACATCCAAGCAGGCCGCAGTGACGCCGGGAGACCCTGGGTCGGCCCCTTTCTGCTCCTAGATTCACTTTCCTAACCTTACCCGTCAGCCTCTTGAGGCTCTCGTGGGACTGGAGTTAAAAACTCGAAGCTTCGTCAGTTATTCAGCTTTTGCACCTGTAAGGAACGATCACTAAAAATAGGGTGCGTGGGAGCCGGAGTCGGGGCGGCGCGCTCCAGCGCTCAGGGGGCGTGGCTGGTATCTGGCCCCGCCCACGCCAGCTCTCCGGGCCCAGGGCCCCGCCCTCCCCCGGCG